CCCCAAAACCCCAAAACCCCAAAACCCCAAAACCCCAAAACCCCATTTCACTATCATTTATTAGAGATAGCCTTTGTATTATAATAATTTTAATATGGATTTTAGAAATATGGAGAGCTTCTTCCCAGCACAGAATGCCCCGGAAAATGGTTTGTTTGATAACCCGACTGTCAGAGCCATCAACGCTGCTAGTAGATTCGGATATTCTGTTATTGGAAATAATCTGCAGGCTATTAATTCAACCTGTGCAGCACTAAACTCCTCACCTGTGGAGTATTTAGTGGGGAACCAAAGCTTACTCCAGAACTTTGAGTATGGGCTTACCAATCCAGGGTTTGCCCATGAAAGGATCTTAGATTCTTTGAAGCAAATACCTATTTACAAGGAAGTATTAGACTTCAAGACATCTGAGAATGAGAGCGCCAGAGTAGAAAGTATTAGTCCACTGTCTGCCCAAAGTTCTATTAATCAAATAAAGCTCTTCAGCCAGAAAAGACCAAATGTTGATGTTCAGTTCAATACACAAAGTTGCTCTATGAATAGCTCGAAAAATGAGTCTTCTCATCCAATCAATGATAACAAATTCAAGGCTGGAGCCGCAATTAGAGAATCAGGTAGCGATGCTTGCAAGGATGTTCCAGAGATTTATAATGATATACCAAATTATAACCAAGGACAAGGAAATGGCGTAGGTAGTTACATGCCCATAGTACTCCCAAAAGGATCTAATAGTGTAATCCCTCCCGGCTATATCGAAATTCATACTGAGGAAACTTCTAGCAGAAAGACTAAGGTTGTGACTAACTGTGAACATACTGACAGAAAACACTACGCTAAAGGTCTCTGCAGCTCGTGCTACCATAAAAATGGTAGAACAAAGAAGTCTTGGAACTGCGAACATAAAGACAGACTTCATTATGCTAAAGGATGCTGTCACGAGTGCTACGTTACTTTCCATTCTAAGAGAGGTCAGAAGAAATTAAGAAAGACCATCAACCAGGACTTGTCTGAAATCTCAAAGGCAATGGAGCCCTCATATCTCACTGGAGGTGTCTTCTAAATCACTTCCAATTTCTCCTTCACTGGAGTTCATGTCTAGTAATCATACATGATTTACGTAAAACATCAACTGCTTCTGTTGCTATGTAGGTACCAGAAATGGACTACTAGTACGCAGAGGCGTATGTCAATTATATCAGAAAATTTACCAGTATCAGTGTCATTCTTTTCCAATAGGTCAATAGATGGTTTTAGGGGGAAAAGTGCTTCAACCATTGATTATATGAAAGGGGTTTTGGGGTTTTGGGGTTTTGGGGTTTTGGGGTTTTGGGGTTTTGGGG